TAATGGTTATTTTAATATTGGTAATGTATTGACATGTATTGTTACACACTTATTTTTAATTTAAGTTTAGTATTTCTAAAACTAACAACATGTAATTTAACTGTCAATGACAGCCTGGATGTTGCGAAATACATAACTAAATGTATATAAATATATATACGGGGTGTCTGACAACGAACTATAAAACCGACGTGTGTAAATAGATCGAGTTATTCTGAACAGAAAAGTTATTTACCATTTTGAAAAAATCGCATTACTTATTGAAATATGAATTAATAAATGTGAGCCAATGAGAGCGCTGGGAGCGTAAAATCGTGTTTCACAAAAGAAGTGATATAAAACAGTAGCACTAAGTAAACTTGTGTACGTTATTATATTGGAAACAATTACAATAAAAAACAATATTGAATAGAAATACAATTTACAACATATTTGTGTCAAAAGTAAAATTGTGCCTTAAATTTTTGTCCGTTATTATATACTACAAAAGACCGGCCCAGTGGTCTCGCGGCATGAGTGCAGGGCCTGCGAACCCAGAGGTCCCGAGTTCGAATCCGTTCACCTAAAGATGTTTTTTTGGATCGGTCCCCTTCAACCGATTTATCGGTTGTTCGGCAAACTAAATCGGGCCTCCAAAAATTAATTTGATGTAATCCTGAATTAACCGGCCTGGTTCGCAATCTAGGTGTCGGATCTTTGCGAGTAGAAAGATCTCGAGTTCGAATCCTTATCTTCAAATTTTTCTGGCCGGTTCTTTCAAACAAATACAGCTTCTCAGGGCAAAACTTTTTTCGGAAGTGAACGCCCAGAGAGATCCAACTAATCCTCTAAACTGTGAACTGAATCAAGGCCTTAAATCAGCGTACTGATACATCTTTCAGTTGCCTGGCAGAAAATGCCGAGCTGAAGGTGGCCGGGAAGCAAACCCGGCGGGAGTCACAGAAAAACTCATAAAAACAGATTTAGGTGACATTTTAGAAACTTTCGTAGTTCCACTTGCTCTAAACATATCTATCTATGTACTACAAAACATTTTTTCTTATTTCAAAGATACATGTCACATAATATGATACGTTTATAACGAATAAACATTTTCACAAAAAGCACTTTTTTTCTTATGGCCAGTATTCATAGTCGAATCTTATATTTAAGATTGTCTTACGTTCATTTTATGATTGGTCGTCATGTAGCCACTGAAACATTTCGCTCAACTTTCAACGGTAAACAATACAACAAGTAACCAAGGTCAATTTTAAGGTAAATTTAGACAGTCTTACATATATAATCGG